CTCAATACTATTATATATGTATATGTTTTTATTACCACAAAAAAATTAACTATAATTACTCGATTAATCGACAGAATAATCGACAGATTGCTTGAGTACCCAAATAATTGTTAGCAGCAGCCCTAATAATACACTCCAGCTCCACAACAAGACATCAATGGTTATCATATGAAGGAATATTTCCAACATTTCTCACTGAGCTTGTTCCAATGCATTCTGGGATTGCCTTCCCCCCCATGGAAGATACATGCGATGCTACCTTACAGTTTGGCCTAAATAAGGAGTCTGGTCAGGCAGCAGAATTCATGACGACTGAAACTAGTGTGGATGTGGTGGTCAGCACTCACTCGCTCCATCTCTTCATGATTCCTGAGCTCTTCTTGGCTCTCAGCGTGTTGGAGGCCGATTCAGAGAGTGGCTCGATCTCACACGACTGACTGTAGCTGCAGGAAACCCAGAACAGCATTCAGGAGTGTGTGAGTGTGTGTGTGTGTGTGTGTGAGAGTGAGTGTGTGTGTGTTTAATTCTGCACATCTAAACCCATGCTGATGTCTCACCTCTCGGCCTCCGAGAGCTTCTCCACGCCGGAGAGCCACGCACTGAACCCCGCCACACGCCGGAAATTATAATTGTTACACGCCAGCTGTAACAACTTAATCTGAGCGATGACCTCAAACTCCTACAGGGGGAGACAGAGATCATTAAAGAGATAGTTCACCCAAAAATGAAAATTCTGTCATTAATTTACTCACCATCATGTCGTTCCAAACCTGTAAGATCTTCGTTCATCTTCAGAACACAAATTAAGATATTTTTGATGAATTACAAGAGCTCTCTGATCCTCTCATAGACAGCAAGCATCCTAACACCATCAAGGCTCAGAAATGTAGTAAAGACATCGTTAAAATAATCCATGTGACATCAGTGGTTCAATTGTAATTTTACGAAGCTACGAGAATACTTTTTATGTGCAAAGAAAACAAAAATAAATGTTTTTTTCAACAATTCGTCTCCTCCGCATCACCCTGTAGCGCCATTCTGGAGAGTATCACATACATAAACAACATATGCAACGTATGTATGCGGATACGCTGTTTACGTTCAGATCGAAGCGCAAACAATGTAAACAGCGTATCCACGTACATACGTTGCATATGTTGTTTATGTATGTGATACTCTCCAATATGGCGCTATAGAGTGACGCGGAGGAGACGAATGATTGGATAGTAGTAAAAAGTTATTTTGGTTTTCTTTGTGCACAAAAAGTATTTGCGTAGCTTCGTAAAATTACGGTTGAACCACTGATGTCACATGGATTATTTTAATGATGTCTTTACTACGTTTCTGAGCCTTGATGGTGTTTGGATGCTTGCTGTCTATGAGAGGATCAGAGAGCTCTTGTAATTCATCAAAAATATCTTCATTTGTGTTCTGAAGATGAACGAAGATCTTACAGGTTTGGAACGACATGAGGGTGTGTAATTAATGACAGAATTTTCATTTTGGGGTGAACTATCTCTTTAACACGAGATCAGCGCTTCTGAATCATCGTCAGGATCTGTTCCTTCTGTTCAGACGTACCTTCCTTCTCTTCTCGAAGTTGATCAGGCCTCCCTGAGATGCAGAGAAAGAACCAGTTATTACCCATATCTGCAGCTGAAACACATTCAGTAGTAACTGCTAGTGTCTTATTAGCTGAACTGAACTGATGGTTTCTTTAGACGGAGGTCTGTCACACACCAGTCAAAGAATCAGAGAATAAACGACTCTGATTTTTGTCTTCAATTACCGACAGCTCTGCTGGAAGAACAACAGGAGCACCGCTCGGATATAGACAAAACCACGGTGCTCAGCACGCACCTCGAATTTAAAGAGGTCATGACATGAGAAACCTAATTTCCTAATTATTTTCGTTTGGATCTGAGGGGCAGGGTGACGTCACCCGGGCACAAACATTTGCATAAACACGCCTCCAGAGCAAGACATGGACGAATAGTTATCTTCTCAGCATAGGCCCCGCCCACTGGCGTTCAGTCGCTTAACGGCGGACTTGATTACGCTAAATGTGAGTGTCTTGTTGTGTCAAAAGCAAACAGAAATGACAATCACTGCCACTATCTTGTCAGCACTGGATACAGTATACAGTCCAGCGCTCGAGTCTGTTGTCAGGACTGATGCAGTGAAAGAACGTTTGCTTTGACACACTTGGTTTAAACAGCTCTGTCGCATCTTTGTACAGATATCAGAAGGATCCCAGCGTAAGGAACAAGAGGATAGTTTATTTTTAATGTCGTCCCGGATCGTGTCTGAGGATTGATCGGAGTATTTTGTTTTGTAAACGAGGCACAGTGTCATGGAGAGTCACAAAGAAACATTTGTTAAAAGATGAAGCGGTACTAGATCTGACTGCAGCTGCATCACAAACCATAAGTACATGATTTCATAATGCTTTGTCTGGAAATGACCGTTTTATTTTGATCATGCTGTCAAAACACTCGCATGCAATAGTGTGGGGCGTTAATACTGTTTCCTATGCAGTGACGTTAGCCAATCATAACAGCGGCTGATTACTGACAAGCCTTAAAAGACACGCCCCTTAAAAACTGCTTGTTTTAGAAAGAGGGTCAGAATGAGGGTTGAAAATAATAATTTTTCCACATATTTATTTGTTTTTTGTTTTTTTTCGTGCAAAAACCTTTATTAAAAGGGTCACTGGATGCCCATTTTCCACAAGTTGATATGATTCTTTAGGGTCTTACATTTACATTTACATGACATTAATGAGTCTTAATGAGTCTATAACATACTTTAGTTAAAATTTCTCAATGGTAGTGCAAAACAACACACTCTTTACCTTGTCAAAAACAACTCTGTTCACAGCGAGCAGTTTCGGTGCATGTCCCTTTAAATGCTAATGAGCTCTGCTGACCCCGCCCCTCTCTTCTGTGGGGTGACAGCTATTCTCTGAGAGACTCTTAACTTTAGCCGCAGAACTTGCTAATTAGCACATTATTAGGAAAGGCGATTTACAAAGATTCATAAAAATACCTTATACTCGCTTCTTCTGTAGGTGAAGCTGGATCATGAATGATTCGCGTGAACATATGCGCATTTAGGTAGATTGGGGAGCACATTTCCTTTAAAAACCAAATTAATCCACTGCGTCTTCAGCGGCTCAGATGTCGTGAGTAAATGACGACTGCTATGTTCATTATTACATCCAACAACATTATTACATCTATACCTGCTCCGGCATCGAAACAGTAGTCGTGGGAGGGGCCTGTGCAAACCTACGCCAAGAATGTCAGAACAGCTTGATCTGAGACACTGCTTATGATTTATTGGGATTTTAAAAAACCACTGGGTGGATTTTTATCATTATAGAGTGGTTGTGTACACACACTGCCAACACACATTTCAGTTCAAACAACATGTAAAAGTGAAATTTGCATCCAAAGACCCCTTTAACATTATAAGTATCTACACTGGATACAGTATACAGATGTGCGTTCACTTTCTGACACAGTCCAGCGCTCGAGTCTGTCATCAGGACAAACGCAGTGAAAGAACGTTCGCTTTGACGCGTTTGGATAAAAAAGCTAATTCGTGTCTTTGTACAGATATCAGAAGGATCCCAGCGTAAGGAACAAGAGGATAGTTTATTTTTAATGTCGTCCCGGATCGTGTCTGAGGATTGATCGGAGTATTTTGTTTTGTAAACGAGGCACAGTGTCATGGAGAGTCACAAAGAAACATTTGTTAAAAGATGAAGCGGTACTAGATCTGACTGCAGCTGCATCACAAACCATAAGTACATGATTTCATAATGCTTTGTCTGGAAATGACCGTTTTATTTTGATCATGCTGTCAAAACACTCGCATGCAATAGTGTGGGGCGTTAATACTGTTTCCTATGCAGTGACGTTAGCCAATCATAACAGCGGCTGATTACTGACAAGCCTTAAAAGACACGCCCCTTAAAAACTGCTTGTTTTAGAAAGAGGGTCAGAATGAGGGTTGAAAATAATAATTTTTCCACATATTTATTTGTTTTTTGTTTTTTTTCGTGCAAAAACCTTTATTAAAAGGGTCACTGGATGCCCATTTTCCACAAGTTGATATGATTCTTTAGGGTCTTACATTTACATTTACATGACATTAATGAGTCTTAATGAGTCTATAACATACTTTAGTTAAAATTTCTCAATGGTAGTGCAAAACAACACACTCTTTACCTTGTCAAAAACAACTCTGTTCACAGCGAGCAGTTTCGGTGCATGTCCCTTTAAATGCTAATGAGCTCTGCTGACCCCGCCCCTCTCTTCTGTGGGGTGACAGCTATTCTCTGAGAGACTCTTAACTTTAGCCGCAGAACTTGCTAATTAGCACATTATTAGGAAAGGCGATTTACAAAGATTCATAAAAATACCTTATACTCGCTTCTTCTGTAGGTGAAGCTGGATCATGAATGATTCGCGTGAACATATGCGCATTTAGGTAGATTGGGGAGCACATTTCCTTTAAAAACCAAATTAATCCACTGCGTCTTCAGCGGCTCAGATGTCGTGAGTAAATGACGACTGCTATGTTCATTATTACATCCAACAACATTATTACATCTATACCTGCTCCGGCATCGAAACAGTAGTCGTGGGAGGGGCCTGTGCAAACCTACGCCAAGAATGTCAGAACAGCTTGATCTGAGACACTGCTTATGATTTATTGGGATTTTAAAAAACCACTGGGTGGATTTTTATCATTATAGAGTGGTTGTGTACACACACTGCCAACACACATTTCAGTTCAAACAACATGTAAAAGTGAAATTTGCATCCAAAGACCCCTTTAACATTATAAGTAAACCTCAAGGAACATATTAAAATAATAAAAAAATCCATGTCATGACCCCTTTAAGGTCAACAGTTCAGCATGATTTCAGTACAGCGGGAAGAAAAATGATTTATTTTATAAACAGTGGATAGAAAGGAGGAAAGTGTCCCATGTGCTTGATGTGATGAGTGTGTCTGTTAAGAGAGACTCACGTCCAGATAGTCTTTCATGGCCGTGTCCATCATGACCAGATCCGTCAGGAAAGTTCCCAGGTAAGGAATCGTCCCCTGCATCACAGTCTGAAACAAAAACCATCATTTTGAGAGTTCAGCAGAATGAAACACCACATCAGACGACAGACAGGACAACTATTTATATACACTACATGGCCAAAAGTACTGGCACCCCCTTCTAATGAACAGGTTTGACTACTTTAGTCATTTCCATGAGTACAAATCTTAATGTTTAAGCATATAATGATATTCGAGGGAATTGCGTGCTTCTAATTTTATACCAACAGTTTGGACAGAACCCTTTTCTATTCTAACATGACAATGCCTCTGTGTATAAGGCAAGGTTCAAAAAGAAATGATTGATTGAGTCAGTGTGGAAGAACTTGACTGGTCTGCAGAAACCTCTGCTGTGACTTTAAATGCTGGAGTGTTTATAGTTCCTGTAGTAATGATACGGTGTCAGCATGAAGCTCAATGAATCTGTACTGCATGATCTGAGAACAGCTGCCGGTGTGGATCATCGTCCATCACGGACTCTGAATATCTCACCAGATCTCTCTGTGGCTGCTGTCGTTTCTGCGCTCGCTTAGGGTTGATCTCCAGAGTGGCAAATTTGGACGTTCCCTCCTGCCAAAGAAATATAAGCAGTAAATATCACACACACTCTCTCACACACTCACTAACTGCTTTAGTCAAGTCAAGTCAAGTCAAGTCTATTTGTACAGCGCTTTTCACGATAAAAATCATTGCAAAGCAACTTTACAGCAAATTAAGTTTCTACAATATTTAGTGGTAGTTTATCAGTGGTGAATGTCAGTTAATGTACATATGGCAGAAATGTACGGAAAAATCAATTTAAGACGTAATAAAACAGACGATGAACACTATTAACAGCAATTATTATATGATGCAATCAAACTTATAGCAAAATGTGGTAGTTCTGTATGTTGTTTCAGGGTTGGCATCATCTGAGGTCCTCTGAGGGGTTGGCATCCTTTAGTAAGGATTATTAATGACCTCCTACTTTCTGGTGACTCGGGCAATCTTTCCTTACTCTTATTACTCGATCTCAGCTCAGCTTTTAATACTATCTGTCCTAATTTATTACTCATGCGCCTTACTCAATGGCATCTCCGGAGCTGCGTTATCCTGGTTTTCCTCCTATTTGACAGATAGACAATACTACATCACCATGCATAACTATAAATCTCCCACTGTTTTACTCAAACAGGGTGTTCCTCAGGGCTCAGTTCTCAGGCCATTATTATTTATTATTAACAAAAAGTATTCTCGTAGCTTCCTAAAATTACGGTTGAACCCCTGATGTCACATGGATTATTTTAACGATGTCCTTGCTACGTTTCTGAGCCTTGATCGTGTTAGGATGCTTGCTGTCTATGAGAGGATCAGAGAGAGCTCTCGGAATTCATAAAAAAATACCTTAATTTGTGTTCCGAAGATGAACGAAGGTCTTACAGGTTTGGAACGACATGAGGGTGTGTAATTAATGACAGAAGTTTCAATTTTGGGTGAACTAACCCTTTAAACCTAGATGCTTATATTAGTAAACTCTCTAAATTATCTAAATAAATATTGCCAAACTCCAATCCTTCGTCAGCCCAAAAGACGCTGAATCATTAGTACATGCATTCATCACATCCCGCCTCGTGTACCAAGATTTCGCCTATCATTTATGGGAGGCCGATCTTTCTCTTTCTCTGTCTCTTAGGACAGTAACCACACTGCATGAATTTAAGTCTAAACTCATCTGTTCTCATCTCTCATCTGTTCAACCAATACTACCGGTCATAATGCGTTTCTTCTTAAACTGTTATGGTTCTCTGTTTGAATTTGATTGTTTGCACTACTATTGTGATATGCAACTGCAATCGCACGTCTTGGACTTGGGCAAATGTCTATTGTCCACATAAGTGATTATGCACGGAATGATTTGTTTATTTGCTATTGTCATTGTGAAGCGTCCTTGAGCTTGGGAAAGGAGCTATATAAATCAAACATTATTATTATTAGTATTATACATACACACACACACACACACACACACACACACACACAC